TTAACACCTTTTTTGAAGGCACAAATTATGCTCACAGCTAGCTCTTCAAATGCTTACACGTTGTCTTTAAGTTATGTGTTGGAATGTAGGAAATTTTATGAGGATGATATGAAAGTGTGGTTGACGCTAGTTACCATATTCAAATTTGTTATGGATGAACAAATAATTCAACTAAAAGAAGTAACCTACATGGTTTTTCGGAACTAGGAGATGTACGACATCCTATGTAAAATAATTGGCAAAATTGTCCTTGACATTAAAAACATTTCCATTTTTTAGTATATAATAACTTTGAAATTTTTAATGAAAATACTCCTTATAGTGCTTTCTGAATATTAGGTGAATATGGCTATAACTTTTAACTACATTATAATGTATTGTTACCTTTTTGACAGGCGATTTATCATGAAAACTTTTATGAACCCATCTTCGTCGGCACTATCCGCTCATGAACTATTGGATTCATATCGCAACAAATAGTATCTTCGATAAAAATTTCAAATGTATCTGAAGAATGTCCCTAAACTATTACCAAACCAGAAATATTTGTATAGAAGTCGTCAAAGCTAACATGAAATTGATTTGAATTTAACCTAATTTTTACTTTTCTATATAGAGCAGCAAAACGAATTAAAAAACACATCAAATTTACTTACTTGAGTTTCCCGGAATGTAACAACCATTAACCAAAAGGCAACAAAAAGATCCATACATAAGCGAGCCAGATGTTTAAATGATTTTGCAGAACAAAAATCCATTTCTCGGGTTTCCATATTAATATTCTGAACTTTTGTTAAAGTTGGGGTCGGAAAATTGTTTATATTGTTTTATAAATTATTAACCCGACCGAAGAATGTCATGCCTTGTCGTTATCTTAACTGAACATACCCCTTTGGGGGAGAATAGGAGATAATTTGCATAGTCACTCAATGCCACTTCAATTTATTACTTATGTTAAAAAACACGAATATTTAAAAATTCACTTTAAAAACACGAAACACGCACTAAATGGAAAGAAATGTTACTTAATTTGAATGTTTATTGTCAATTGAACACATTTTATTAACCGAAAATACACATTTTTGCAAATTAATTGTGAAAAAGCACAAACGAAAACCGAGCTTAACGAACGATGTACGATCACTGACGAATGTCATGCAGTATAGTGTTGGTTAGCGCAATTTTAATGCAATTTGTCATTAAAGTATGTGAATGTCAGTTACCAATAGTTGAAGAAGAAGAGCTACACATCTAACATATTTCGCTTACGTTCCTTATCCTTTTGAATTACTGAACATACCCCTTGTGCAAGAATACAAGGAGAAAATTTGCATAGTAACTTCAATTTATTATTTATGTTACAAAAAACACGAATATTTAATATTTCACGTTCAAAACACGAAACACGCACAAAATTGAAAGAAATTTTACTTAATTTGAACGTTTATTGTCAATTTAACACATTTTATTAACCGAAAATACGCATTTTTGCCAACTAATTGTGGAAAAACACAAAAGAAAACCGAGCTTAACGAACGATGAACGATCACTGACGAAAGTCATGTAAAATAGTGTTGGTTAGCGCAATTTTAATGCAACCTGTCATTATCGTTGACCTATGTGAATGTCAGATATCAGTAGTGGAAGAAGAAGAGATACACATCGCTTACTTTCCTTATCCTTTTGAATTACTGAACATACCCCTTGTGTAAGAATATAAGGAGAACATTTGCTTTGTTAATCTATGTCACTTCAATTTATAATTTATATCACAAAAAACATGAATATTTATAATTCACCGTAAAAATAATTTTAGCAAGCGAGAATTCTTTGCATTTGCGTTGCAATGTCTACTTCCTTTGACCCGAGGAACTTATTCAGTATTATTCACTTTGTGTCACAAATGCTTTTTTATTATTCATATTTTTTAAACAATAACAACACAATTTCATAGTTTATTGTCAATTTAACACATTTTATTAACCGAAAATACGCGTTTTTGCAAACTAATTGTGGAGAAGCACAAAGGAAAACGCGATTTTAACGAACGATGAACGATCACTGACGAAAGCTATACAAAATAGTGTTGGTCAGCGTAATTGTAATGCAATTGTCATTAACGTGTGTGAGTGCCAGTAGTGGAAGAAGAAGGCTACACATTTGACATTTATTTTCATACATTTCTTTCGGTTGGATATCCTTTTGAATCAAGTACAATTGCTTAACATACCCATTGCACGGGAATATAGGGAGAAGAAATGCATAGTCACTCAATTTCTATTCAATTTATTATCTTTATCACAACAGACATGAGCATTTATGTTTTTCCATTAAAACCAGTATCACACACCATTCTTTACAGTGACAATAGGCGGCAATTGCCCGAAGGAATTATTACATTATTATTCACAATGTAACACATGATCTTATTATTCGTTTTTAACAATTATAACTCAATTGTATCGTTAATGTTAATTTAACACATTTTATTAACCGAAACACACATATTTTTGGCAAGAAATTGTGAAGAAGCACAAAAAACCGAGCTTAACGAATGACGAACGATCACTGACGAAATTTTTGAAAATAGTGTTGGTTAGCGCATTTTATAAAAAATGTGTTATTAACGTGCCTTTCGTTAATATTGTAAGAAGAAGAGATAGTTAGTTCAGCCATATCCTTTAATATTTCAAAAGAATTTCTTTCACGGAACAATATTAGATGAGGAGTGGTATCCTATTGACGAATCAACTAAACTAGCATACAATATAATTATGTAACGTTATTTTGCCAGATTTTAAAAGGTCTGTGGAATTAAATGGCAATGGAAAAATACCTAATACAATGTAGTATACAGAAAATGACAGAATATGCTATTTTTATGCATTTTTTAAATTAATTAATCAAACAAACCGAAATAAATTTGCATGTGTATTTATAACACAATTTATTTACATATGTTTACATTTTGAAATTGATCTTTCAAAATCTGCATAAACTTGTCACACACACCTTATTTTTTCATGTCTCATTAACATCTTCATGTTATGGTAATTTTTAAAGTCATCCTCGTAAATAAGAAATTTTGAAATTTTTTTGTTTACAATAAAACTGGCTTCAGTGGTCTCCGGCAAATTAGTTGTTAAGGCTTGTGCTTTTCCGTGTTTGTATGTGTGTTTATGTGACACAACACAGGCTGCTTCTCGTTGATATTCCAGTCAGAAAGTCTGACAGACTTATTTCATTTACAATAAAAATCAAGACTACCACTGCACCAGCAATAGCAACAACAACAAGCATTTTCTAAAGAGAAAATATGCTTGGTTTATTTTTCTGGATACCGAACCTCAAAAAAAGCTAAAAATTATGTATGTATGTTGTTATGGATTTTAAATTGCAGCTCATTGTGTGATTTAGAGATTGTTTTTTAACAGTTTTAGGAGAAAGTTATTGAAGTGTGCGTGTGTATGCATGTGCCTACGTTAAGCATGGGCTATTAGTTAAACTGTAATCTGAGTTTATTGATTAAAACAAGTGTATTTTTGTAAAGAAAATTTCGTTTAGGTTTTCTTAGCCCTTACCCCCTGCTTAACTTTTTCATTTTAGGTCATCCCAAAGAAATTTTTTGTAAAACATAAAAATGTAAATTAGAATTTACATAAAATCTCCCACATTTATCTTCTATTTTTATTAAATAAATTTCCAACAAGAAACCGGAAATTTCCTATTAGTTTCACATGAGCATAAAAATTACAACACAAATTGAGAAATCCACAAAAATTTGTCAACATATCGAAACCTAACATCATCGTACGATTTGATTTTATTTACTCTCTTGTTCAAAGATTTTGTTTGTATTTTGTGTGTTTTTGTTTACTTGGACACAAAAGAGATGAGTAGGCTAGGCTGTCTGTCTGTCTGTCAATAACGCAATCATAAAACTAATATTTACTGCCGCCATGCTTGCTGGCTTGTAAACCAGGCCAGAAAGGTTTTCAGTTTCGAAACAAGACTAAAATACAACAACCAAAGAAGAATTATTCACAGTTTAATTCATGGTCATTACTATTAACTGCACAAAAAAAATGGTGAAAGTGTTTTTTAGTTGTTTTCTTAAATACCTATGTCTTGGCATTTAATCAAAATGTTAAACGATAACAAAGGTATTAAATATACATATGGATATGTATATATTACTGTGTACTTGTATGGAAGTAAAAAAAATTTACAGACTTCTTATTAAGTGCAAAAGTTTTAAAGTTCAACAGCAATTTTTTTAAGACGTAATATTGGAGACTTTTTGTAAAAAAATTATGTTTAATTAATAGTCATATTTTATATACATTATATTAAAATTTCTCATTTAATTGCTTTTATACTTTATAGTTTTTTATTGCCAACAGTATTTTTATTCGCCTAGAAGTATGCTACATATGTTTACTTATTGTCATTTTACCAATGAAATTCATCATTTCACAACACTGGTGATATTAAGTCGTTGTGCATACTGTTTATACTAAGGGAAGAAGAAGAGCTGCGTGCTAAAGAGAGTGATATATAAACAAAAATATCTACTTCTCTTATAAAGAAATTAAATTATTATATAAAATTACTCAATTATTACTTGTAAATTCAAAAATAGCAGATAATTAGCATTACTTTAAATATACATAATATATGTATTTCTAACAAAAAATACACTTGCCAATTTTAGATTTTATATTATCATCTGGAAAACTATGTTTACACAAAGCACATTCAAACATATTACATGTTCAACTGAAAAATAAACGCACAAAAACATGAAGTGTTGATAAATTTTTTATTTGATCCAAATCGTTAAAAATAATAATGCAATTATTTTATATATATTTAAATTTTTAAGTTATTCAAATTCAATAACAATACTAATTGATTATATTTTTCTCTCTTTATTTTCAGTTATATTTTTTCTTTCTTACCTCTTCAACGCTGTAAATAAATAAACACACAATAATAAAATGTGGCCCGAAAATGTTGGTATTTTAGCCATTGAGGTCTTATTCCCCTCACAGTATGTCGATCAAACCGAATTGGAACAATTCGATGGTGCCTCCGCCGGTAAATATACCATTGGTTTGGGCCAATCGAAAATGGGCTTCTGTTCGGATCGTGAAGATGTCAATTCCCTGTGCCTGACTGTTGTAACCCGCCTTATGGAAAGACATAATATTAAAGCCGCCGATATTGGCCGTCTAGAAGTTGGTACCGAAACAATTGTCGACAAATCGAAATCAGTTAAATCCGTACTGATGCAACTGTTTGCCGATAGTGGTAATACCGATATGGAAGGTATTGATACCACAAATGCCTGTTATGGTGGTACTGCTGCTCTCTTCAATGCCATCAATTGGGTAGAATCATCTAGCTGGGATGGCCGTTTGGCCTTGGCAGTTTGTGCGGATATTGCGGTGTACGCCAAGGGTGCTGCACGTCCAACAGGTGGCGCCGGCGCCATTGCCATGCTGGTGGGACCAAATGCACCTTTGGTTTTCGAAAGAGGCCTTAGAGCAACACACATGGAACATGCCTACGATTTCTATAAGCCAGATTTGAGTTCAGAATACCCAACAGTCGATGGCAAATTATCTATTCAATGTTACTTGTCTGCTTTGGATACCTGCTATCAGTTGTATCGTAAGAAATTCGAAAAACTCAATCCCCAAAACGAAAAGGAGGGCTTGGACAACTTCGATGCCATTCTCTTCCACACCCCATTCTGCAAATTAGTACAAAAATCTGTGGCTCGCTTGGTATTCAATGACTTTTTGCTTACCGCCGATGAAACAAAACGCGCCCAAAAATATCCCGCTTTGGAAAAATTCAATAACCACACACTGGCCACAACCTATTTCGATCGTGATGTGGAAAAGGCATTCATGACACAATTTGCCAATGTCTTTGAGGAGAAGACGAAAAAATCACTGCTGTTGGCCAATCAAGTCGGCAATATGTACACTCCCTCGGTCTATTCAGGTTTGGTATCACTGCTGGTCAGTGAGAAGCCTGAAAATTTAGTTGGCAAGCGAATTGCTGTATTTTCATACGGATCCGGCTTGGCTGCATCTATGTACTCCATCAAAGTGACCTCAAATGCGGATGTCTTCCAGAAATTCAGTGAGAAACTGAACTATGTTTTGCCTTTGCTGAATTCCCGGGAGAAAGTGGCGCCCGAAGTGTTCTCGGAACTGATGGAGATTCGCGAAAAGAACAATCATGCCGCACCCTATACGCCCACAGGCAGCATTAGTGCCTTGTTCCCGGGCACCTACTACCTCAAGAGTGTTGATGAAATGCATCGGCGCACCTATGAACGTACACCAACCATTTCAAATGGTGTGCACTGAAATAGTGTGTGTGCGTGTGAAAGAGGAGAACATTTTGAAGCAGAACAGAAAGCTCCAGCTACTTTAGCTTTACTTAACTACAATTAAATTTAATCTAGTTAATAATAATAATTAATATGGAATGGAAAAAAAACAACAACAAACACACACAACAAATCATAAAACTTTAAAAGTTTTATACGAAAGAAAAAAACAATAATTGATATAAAAAAATACATCGGAAAAAAATTAACTTTAAATTAGTTTAAATTTTGTTGATTTCTATACAATTTTATATTACATATATAGCTATGTATTTATTTTCAATTACTTTTCTTAACAACAACAATACAAGCCAGCAAAACAACTAGTACTTGACAATAATGATGATGGTGCTGAAGATAATGGTTTATTTCAAATAAACTAATAGTGGTTTATTCAAAAGCCAACAATTGTGTTCTGGCTTAACTAAATCTTTAACACTATCAGATAAAAAATTTAATAAATTATTTATTTTTTAGCTTAAAACTATTCAAAAATATTATTGTAACGCTATTTCCCAGTTTTTTTTCTCTTCCCCCCATTTATATCTTTGCATCTACAAAACTAAGTTCAACAATATGAAAAACTTGTCATCGACATTAGGTTATTAATTTTTAAAATTATATATATTGTATAATGATTACTACAATTTTTTTGTTTAATTTATAAAAAAATAAAATTTTTATTTTACTCAAGGAAAATGTATGGAAATTGTATTTTATTTATGTGGTGGTACAGTTTAAAGTTTCCATGATATCTTATATTGTTTCAGATCATATGGATCCTTCTAAATTCTATTACATGACATTGACATTAGAACTTTGTATCAATCGAATTGACAACTGTACACCACTAGCTTAACAAAATCTAGTACAATGTGAACATAATATTACATTGAATAAGGCTTCTAGTACGTTTACATTTAACCGGATTTCGTTAACCCAGTGGGTTTCAATTGTCAATTCCTTTCAATATATACCAAATAAATCCTCATAAAGTAGGTTAACCCGGTAAAAAGTTCTAATGTATATTTCGTTTTGCCCAAAAAAAAATATTTTAAATTAATAAAAATAGCATTGGAATGAAAATTGCTATACTAGTCAATGATAATCGGCCAAAATCAATTAATGGGACGGTTTAAAAGATGTTCTCTTCAATTTAAACATGTTTTACAGGTTCGTTCGGGTAAGAGAAAGGTTTTCCAGAAAAAAGCTGAAAGAGAGTATACACGATCATCAGTTCAAAATGTCACACTACAAACAGAATCTGGGCAAAATTTATTAAAAAATTAAAATGTGTACACCATTCAAAATTTAGCATCATTTAGTCAATTGAGATGGCAACACTTTAAATTTAGTGATTGATAACGGCGGAACGTCATTATCGACAAACATCAGTTTTGATCAGTTACCAATAAGTCTTTTGTTGCCACATTGTCGCATTGATAAATGTCAACCATCAAGCGGGTTTACCTATAATATTTGATCATGATTAAAGACCGAATATGGGTTTATTTTTAAAAAATGACGAATTTTTTAATATATGTTCCACGAAAATCTAGCCTTAAAGTAGGGTTAGATTTACGAAATGTACTTTATTTTAAATGTCATGCCATAGCGAATACATCAAATAAAGAGCGATGACGTTTTTGTCTCGATCATATGTGAAATTTTTCTTTATAATATTTCACATGGTTGGCAACATTGCACATCGAAGCCAAGTAGAAATTACACACGTTCACAGTTAATCGAGACATCAGCTGCGCTAAATGGACTACCTATTTATTGTGCCATGGTATACCCCATGCCACAATGAATAGGTAAAATTTACCACTTTGACATTGTGCCATGGGTATACCCATGGCACAATGAATAGGTAGTCCATTTAGCGCAGCTGATGTCTGGATTAACTGTCAAAGTGTGTAATTTCTACCTAGCTTCGATGTGCAATGTTGCCAACCATGTGAAATATTATAAAGAAAATTTTCACATATGATCGAGACAAAAACGTCATCGCTCTTTATTTGATGTATTCGCTATGGCATGACATTTAAAATAAAGTACATTTCGTAAATCTAACCCTACTTTAAGGCTAGATTTTCGTGGAACATATATTAAAAAATTCGTGCGCTAAATGGACTACCTATTTATTGTGCCATGGTATACCTATTTTTCCATATAATATTTCAAAAATTTGGCAGCATTGCACATCGAATTCAAGTAAAATTTACCACTTTGACATTGTGCCATGGGTATACCCATGGCACAATGAATAGGTAGTCCATTTAGCGCAGCTGATGTCTTGATTAACTGTCAAAGTGGGTAATTTTTACTTGAATTCGTTGTGCAGTGTTGCCAACCATTTGAAATATTATATGGAAATTTTTGACAGATAATCGAGACAAAAACAAAGGTTGTTGTTGTGATACATCACCTTATTATTGCCATGGTATACCCTATGGAATTGACATTTTAAATCCAGAGAATTTGGTACGAGCCCGTTTAGAATATGCCTTGCAATCCATTCGATTTGTGAATCGATGAAAACTATGGAAACGTTTTTTATTATTTTCAATATTCATTTTACTCGCTTTTTTGTTCAATATTACAGTGAACTAAACTTACACAAGCAACCACAAAATATAATGAAAATAAAATTCGTAATTAATTTGTAAACAATAATACCATGATAGACACGTTCAAAACATACTTATATACACACAATACCATAATTTTGGTTATTGGTTTGTTATTAGATTACAGAAAATCCAAAAAACAAAACACTTTTGCAATGACCTTGCTATCAATCAAAAATCAAATTTCAAATGAAAAAATATACATTTTATTGGCATTTATTCAACAAATCTATGTACTTATTATAAATTCTATATATATTTGTTTTTGGATTGTTTATTCTTCTTTGGATGTATGTATGTATTTAATAATTAACGTAAGACGTCAATTATTTTCTACCACTTTGCAAAGCCGTAAACTTATAGAACATAACACCTAAAATAGAAAAAAATTAGATTAGAAAATTATTTTAAGTGAAGTCGATAGTATATAATTAAATAAGGGTAAAGGTCGAAAATAAAATTATATTATCTAATTTGATATATGACTGATGGTTTTGTGCATTAAGGTCGACTTAAAAAGTGAGCAAGCAGATTAATGACATGCACGAAGATCGCGTCTGTAAAGGCTATGTGACAGCACAGCAAAAAATGAGAGTACATATGTCAATGAGGGCTCGTATAACATACCGTTAACCACGACCACTAAAGTAATTGACTGTTGACGGCAATCGTTATTTATTTGACAGGAAATGACAAATTAAATAACAATGGGAATTCATCAAAAACCAGCTTTAGCCTAATTATTTCTGAAATAAAATTATTATATTCAATACTCACCATTGGGATTAATACGTGTTTCAAAAACGGTCGATGGTTTCACGAATCCTAAATATCTGTTATTGTCGTAAAGATCCTAAAAAGGTATTTAAAAAAATAATTAAAAATCTAAAAATGTTCAGCATTTCAAAATGCACTTACTGTAACTGAATAACCACGAGGATTTGTCAAATTCAATTCGGAAAGTTTAAATTTAATTGTATAGGGAGCACCATCGGCACGACGACTAACAAATGCCACAGCATATGAATATTCACCATTCAAAATTACGGGTGTAATCGGTCTTGACCATACCTATAAAGTGGAAGTTAACATTATTTCAAAATACATTTTCGTGTACGCTTCAAATTCCTTACCTCAATTTTGTTTTTGATTGAAATTCGTCTACCTTGAATACCCAAAGGATCTTGATCGACAGCAATGACGTGCCTAATAAGAAATATAAATATTTTTAATTATTTATTTTAACCATTGATTTGTTTACATTTTTATATGTTGTGATATTTTATATGGGGTATGTTCAGTCAAAAGAGAATTAAGTGGTTAGCTAAGGCGACCATACTTAGAAAAATAAAAAATGACATCAGGAAAAAATTGAAAACAATTCAACAAAATTTCTATTTTTAGATTTGTATAGGTTCTGAAACCCACCAATAGTGTCACGATACTCAATCTAAAAATTTTCAATGTAACAGTCATGTAGTCATAAAATTTATCAATACAAAAAAATATATATATTTTTTATTTTTTAAGAGTAAGAGCCTGAACAGTACAAGTACTGCAACGACTTGACAAAAAATATGTGTTTAAATATTCTAAAATAAATATTGACCAAGGTTTAACAAATAGAGATGACGTTCATTGAAATAGATGACAGACGGACATTTATAGAGGTCAGGCAATAAAACCAGATAATTGTCCTCTAAAAAGAAGGAATATGGCCACCTTAGGTTAGCTCCATGATGCAATAATAAGGTGATGTATGAAAACAAAAACCTTTGTTTTTGACTCGACCATCTGTCAAATTTCCTTATAATATTTAACATGGTTGGCAACATTGCACATCGAACTCAAGTAGAAATTACGCACTTTGACAGTTAATCCAGTCATCAGCTGCGCTAAATGGACTACCTATTTATTGTGCCATGGTTAACTCACTATCTGTTTGGATTGTCAACTATGAATACGTTCGTAAATAACGGACATGAACGGTCACATGGTCAAACAAGTAAAATTTGTGTCCTGCTTAAGACTAATCAATAATTTTTTAAGAAAGCTTAATTATAGGTTAAATGGATTTTAAATTCTTATAAAAAGCTTAAACTAATTGCAAATGCATTCAATACTCGTAACTTACTTGTTTTGTAAAATTTCCTTAATTTCTGGACGAACAGCTGACAAATCATTTGACATAATTAAAGGAGCCGCCAAAATAGACCACACCGCCATTTGTAATTTACTTTGATCGTACGATAGACCATAATTGCCAAGGATAAGCTGAAAAAAACAAAACAAATTCATTAAAAGGGTAAAACAATTAATTTCGAAACAGAATAAACACCTCGACTTTTAACGCTTACGAAATAAATAGCAGCAAGCGGTGTACACACTACCAGATTTGAGTGACAGTTTGGTACGAGTTTTGCTTTTTTTGATACATCAAGCTAAAATATGGCTGTTTGTTGGTCAATCAGTAAGCGGCAAGAAATCTGGCAGTTTAAACTGGTAGTGTGTACTCGCTTTATGCCTGCCCGTGCATAAAATCTCCTATCATTTCTTTAAACTTACCATATCAGGATCATTCCAATGTCCTGGTCCAGCATGTGGTTGAATTCTATCTTGATTCTTGGAGAAATAATCCATAATTTGTGCAACCGATTCAAATGAGTCATCAATATCATTCCAATTACGCCATAAATTACAATGTTGCTTCAAAGCTTCATAGTTGGGCTAAATATAACAAAAACAAAACCATAAGAACCGTATTTAAAAGCATTTATTATTTTACTACAACATACCAATTTTCCCTCATATTCCTGATATACTGGCCAACTGCATGAATACACCATTGGACGTCCTGTGCGATTTAACAAACGACCAAATTCCGGATAACCTTCATCCATTTGATTAATATCCGCATAGCAGCCATCTAATTTAACATAATCAACATCCCATTCGGCAAATGTTTGAGCATCCAAGGCCATGTTGTTGATAACACCAGGATAGCCGGCACAGGTATTTGTACCATAATCTTGATATAAACCGAACTTTACACCTCTTTGATGGATCTGGAAAAACGATAATTATTTTTATCTGTAGTTTCTGTGTTTGTTATTAATATAACTCACATAATCCGCCAATGCATTGAGACCACTTGGAAACCGTTTACGATCTTCAACTAATCGATTGGTGACATTATCACGTTCCTTTTCCAACCAACAATCATCAATGATAACATATTCATAGCCGGCAGCCAAATATCCTTCATCGACCAGCAAGTCAGTGGTGCGTTTAAATAAGTTTTCACTAATGAAATAATAAAATAAAATTATTAAATAAAATATTTTGTGAATGTATTGAGTTATTATTATTTTTTTAATATATAAAAAATTATATCTATACTGAATGTTTTAAGTCACGTTTAATACGGCAATTAAATTAAAACTTTTTAAATCACTGTACCAAATGTAAACGTATTATGCCCTCTAAATCGTAGATGTTTATGCTTGTATTAAAATGATATAAAGCTAGTCACCTGATATTTGTTTACGTATACATACAAATTTCTAATACCACGCAGCTGACCAGTATTCTCAAAATCCTAATAGGAATTTATCAAGGTCATCCACGGAGACCAGCTGGATATCAGGTGCCTCTCACAATTGCTGTCAAAATTCATCATTGTGAATAGACTTCCATTATGAAAACGTATGTAGGATATTTTTTAAGGGATTCAGAATAAATCGACGATCCAATTTAGCATCATTTAATTCTATGCCTATATTTTGTTTTGTAAACAAACATCACCTGATACGTAATAATATTCTCAATGCAAACAAATAAGATTTGTTTTCCGTAATTAAAAACCTAACAAGGTTAATCTCGATTAAAAATAATATAATTTTTCAATTCTTCCTGTTTCTCTTCAAAGCAAGGAAATGAATTGTCGTTGTTTCAAAATCACATAGTTTTAAAAGATTTGTCGAATAATAAAATGTGGATAGCTAGTAAAAAATATCAGAACTAGATTATTAAAAGGGAAGACACATACGAGGATTTCAGGCATAATGTTTTAAGTTGACATTGTTAAATGTAAACGAATAAATTGGAATGGCGCCCAAATTGAATTGGACTCTGAAATTTCGTTACAAATTCGAATTCAATACAATACAACATAAAGATTCATGCCTTGAATCCTCGTGTGTGTATGTCCTTTAAGAGCTTTTCCGATTTCGAAACACAATCGTATAATTTTTTACACATTTGTACACATTTTCATGTCACATTTTTCACTTTTGATTTATTTATTTTTTGTTTCATATTTACCTTATACACTCGTCAGGATATTTATTACAATCGGTAATACAGCGATAACGTTCCCAATGCATCCAACCCATGGGCGGTGTACGAGCCAAACCATTTTCCAAAGCCAACGATGCCTGTATGGCAACACTCAGTACGAGGAATTTTAAAATAGTTTTATACATTTCTTCCAGGATTTTTTTTCTAAAAAAAAAATAACCGAAAACCCGTTATTCTTAGCGTTCAGAGATACAACCCAGTAAGACACTGAGTACTTAATGTTTGATTGTTGTTGAAAACAGCCGTATTTTATAAGACTTCGTTTGTTTTTCAAAAAAAAAACGTATGCAACATACAGTATATGGGGGAGAGGATTCCCAGTTGTGTTATGTTATCACTCTCACACTGATAGACAACACCCCCTAATGATCTCCAACTATAGGTAGTGGTGGAGTAGATATTTTGTTGTCAAAACACACAGGTGGCCAAAACTAAAGCAACTGAAGCGGAAAAGAGTATTAATAGCCTTAAACGGCATTTACATTAGAACTTTTTACCGGGTTAATCTACTTTATGAGGATTTATTTGATATATATACAATGGAACTGGCAATTTAAACCCACTGGGTTAGCGAAATCCGGGACAATGTAAACGTACTATTATATTCGTACCAAAAATCAAATTTAAAACATTTCCGAGTTGTCGGATAGATGAAGAAGATCATAATGTTGGGTATATTTTATATGAGGTATGTTCAGTCAAAAGACAATTTAGAGGTAAGAACACTATCGGTTTGGACTGTCAAATTCCACAAATGGTGGCTTCACACAGACTGAAGGTATATGAACTTTTAGATTATAGCTTTTATCGTGATAATTCGAATTATCTCTAATTGCAATATCGAACTGAATTTATCTAGATTTTTACCATAAAAAATTAAATTTATTCAATATCTCATTTTGCTCGCAATCCTGAATGAAAACGACAAATGCAACTCTGATTTTGTTCCAAAAAATTCATCACTTCTCCTAAAAGTATCAAAATGTCAACGCTTTAAAATTCAAGGACGAAAATGTCGTAGAACTTTAAGGAGGAAACACATATGAGAATTCAGGCTTGGCATGTTATGTTGGCTTTGTATGATATCAGAGTCAAACTTGAATTTGTAAGCCGTTCTCCTTTATCCTTTTACAATAAAATAAGCCAACTTAACATGCCAATCTTGAAGTCGTCTTATGTGTTTCCCCTTTAGCCTGTACTTCTAAAAAATGCGAACAAAATAAAAAAATATCGACTTAAGAGCTCCGCCGAATTTCAGTTGCTTCAGTTTTGACCATCAGTGTAAGTATGTAACATAATGAAGAAGATAATATGACACCAGGAGGGGGATGTTACCTCCAATTGTTGATTGTTGGTTATCAGTTCAGACGTGCATACATAAGTAGTATGACACTTTAAAGTTTAAATGTGTTCTTGTATTTTGTTTGTTTACTTTAAAATTGATTTGCAAATATTTTATCACTCAAAAATACATCGGCGCACTCACACACATGCGCTTTCTCATTCGAGTAGAACACCCAATTGAAAAGGAGACTTTTTTGGAGAACTTCGAATGATAAGAAAACAATCTCAAGAATATTCTCACTTAACAAAATCAAACATCTAGTTAAGGTACTTTCTTTACACTTTCTATCTCTCTTTCCCTTTCTTTCTGTGTGTCTCTTGCTTAGTGCCACCTTATTACACTTCTTGTGCTTGTATTGATATATTAATTAATTTAAATGTACCGTTTAAAATTGATGACACCGGATTTTTTTGTAATTTTTTGTTTGTTTCTTTTTTTTGAATTTTTTAATCTTTGGATAAGTAAAGACAACGACTACCGTCCGGCGGCTATTCCATTAATTCCGAATGCCGCACATTGCTATCGAACGTATAGTTCAAGACTAACTGAGACATATCAATTGTGAAGCAAGCCCACAATTATCGAACGAAGCTTGACTTGGACTTGATCAACAAGAACTACAAGAAAGATGATTGATAAGAAATAAATTGAGTACATATTTTTGTCATTTTACACACAACGACATACAAAGTAATAACAATAATAATAACAACAACAATATCTTGAGATAATATTCAATGACCCCAAGATTGCAAATTGTTTGAATACGAAATAAGCAAAGGAAAAATTTGAGAGAATATTTGTTACATTTCATGAATGAGATTCTAATGATTTTGACTGATGTTTGGTTCGAACTGGATGTTATTTATTTATTATTTTATTTTTTTGAAAAACTTTCATAAAAGACATAATAGGAAAATCTTAAACGGCATTTACATTAGAATATTTTACTGGTTTAACCTACTTTATGAAGATTTATTTGGCATATATTTAAAGGAATGGACAATTTAAACCCACCGAATTAACGAAATCCAGTGTAAACGTATTCTGAGTAATAGTACGTTTATATTTTACCAGATTTCATTAACGCAGTTGATTTAAATGGTCAATTCCATGATGCAATAATAAGGTGATGTATACCAACAAAAACTTTTGTTTTTGTCTCGATTATCTGTCAAATTTTTCCATACAATATTTCAACTGGTTGACAACACTGCACATCGAATTCAAGTAGAAACTTTGAAAGTTAATCAAGACATCAGCTGCGCTGGACTACCTATTCATTGTGCCATGGTCAATTCCAAGATTTATTAATAATGTCAACCACCTAGCGAAAGTCAGCTGTGTTTTCTCAAGTCTAATGTCAAAAATTTGGTCTTTGTTTACGTTTTCATAATGTAAGTCTACTCACAATAATGGATTTTGACAGCAAACGTGAGAGGCAGCTGATTTCCAGCTGGTCTCCCTGGACGACCTTATTTATAGGCATTGGTCGATTCCCTTGTTTATATGTCAAATAAATCCTCATAATGAAAGTTAACCCATCTTGCGGCAGAATTTTATTTGAATAACGATCGAAATTATGATACGACACAGTTTTTTAATGAACAACAATTTGCAAATGTTCATCACATGAATCTTAAATAAATTTCTTCTGCGCAAATTAATAATTTTCAATGTATACAAACAAAAATCAGCTGATTATCACTTAGATTAAAGGTTTCTGGATTTCGTTAATCGAATCGATTTAAAATCGTATAAATTAATGTAATTTAAGCTAGTATAAAAGCGCTATAAGTCAAATATGTTGACTGTTGCTTACCAGCCTTAATATGCGTTTAGACTATAGCTTTTGTGTCGGTAATATTCATTATTATTTAATTGCTAATTCGATTTACCACACAAAATGTCACCACTAATAATATCGATTTGCTCGAAATCCTGTGTTACATCGAGATATTTTCAAATACATCTCTGATTTTGCATCAAAAAATGCATTAGTTCTACTACAATCGCTTCACTCTTCAAAATACATTAAATTTAGATTTACGAAATCCACTCGGTCTCAAATGTCAATTCCATTGCGTACACGTGAAATATAATTCACTGGATTTGTGAACAGGATTAACGTTACATTTACGAAATGAAATTGACATTTGAGATCGGGTGGATTTAGTAGTCTAAACGTAGCCTAATATCACTTTAACATTTACTAAATCCAGTTGAATAAATTCTCATGGATTCTAATGTAAATGCAGTTGAAAAATAATACGGCAGCATCTGAAAAGCTAATATGAAAATAACAGCTGATTGTCATCTTTCTAAAATTTTACTAGACTAATCAACTAGGATTTGTATCGTAATTTAGAAGACATAGCCTAAACGTGATTTTACCTTAAATTACGTTTAGATTGACGTCAAATAAAACCACTGAATCTATTACTGGGATTTACTAGACGTATACGAATGGAATAAGAATTGAATTTAATATCATATAAAACTTATTATACAAAGTTTCTTCCCATTTTTTGCACTTCCACAAAATCTATATCATTCCCACACCACATTACCCTTTCTTACATTGGAATTTTTCCACTTTTATGACATTGCCCATATTACTGCAAAAAAAAAAAAATGAAAGGTTTTGCTCTCATTTTCATTTGTAAATATAAATATTATAAGTGCTGATATTGATAAATTATTATTTGATGATGGAAGAACATAAATGGGCCATCGGCGTTTTCATGTCGCCGCCGCACTTTAATTGAGAGCTACACATGTGGGACACTTGCAATGACATGTTGCATAATGGGGGCTTGATGTCGTTTATTTTTTTATACACTTTTTGAATTGGCAATTATGGAAAACATAAATGAAATCTTAAAAATAATACCTGCATACATTATGTAAAAAACGATAAAATATAATCAATGTAGGTTATGCAATTTTCGAGGAGTATTAATTTGTGCCAACATACAAAACAATTAAAATGATTTATTAAGATAATAATTGCAGATGCAACTAATGGAGCAAATTAAAAAAATTCAATTTAATAATAGTATTCCTTATATTGTAGATCAGATTTATTGGGAATGACTAAACCATATGCGCAATTAAGGCGGAAACACATAAGAGGACTTCAGGCTTGCCATGTTAAGTTGAGTTCTTTTATTGTAAAAGAATAAAGGAGAACGGCGGCCGAAATCAAGATTGACTTTGATATTCCTTAATAAATTGACAATCCATACAAAGCCAACTTAACAGGTCACACCTGAATCCTCGTATGTGTTTCCCCCTTTAGGCTATGTCAATTCCATAGGGTGTACGTCAAATATAATCCACTCGATTTGTGACAGGATTAACGTGACGTAGTCTTAGTAGTCTAAACGTAGCCTAAAAGTGATTATTACAAGCTACCTATCAGCTGATTCCATTTTTTTTCTCAAGATTCTATTAAATCAAAATATATATTCTATACATATCTATATCTGTATTGTTTTGAAAGCATGTCAAATAAATTCAAACAAAATCTAAATATATTCAAATTTAATTGAAAATAACTTATAATAACTTTTACCTCGTTCATCTGGAAGTAATTATTTAGTTATGGAGGAAACAAACATTTCATCGTATTCCCTATAGGATTTTGGTATGAAATCATACATTTTCATTATTTGCGGTTTTAATTTTGTGTTGACAAAATATCAAATAAAAACAACCACTCGTTGCTAATATTTTTATATTTGACAGAAGAAGCCACCAGTCATAGTTGCTTGAATACCATATTAAATAAATTTATATTTAATTGAAATGAATATGATTTTTTACAGCGTTGGTCCGAAAGTAATAACTTTGTTACTCATTACTTTATATTGCCTACTGGTTTCATTCATTTCTAGCTTTTTTAGTTATTTATTGTATGTTTTTTTATATTTGACAGAAGAAGCTAACAGCTACATAGTTGCTTTTTTGTTTTCCAACTCAACCTTGTATTATTGTACCATGATTCTAATAAGAACCAATCCAATTTTCTGCAAATCAGTCATTTTCCAACTACAACCCTATTGACCATGATAACAAAACAAGAAATTTATTGTATTGTTGCGTATGTTTTTTTATATTTGACAGAAGAAGCTACATAGTTGCTTTTTTGTTTTCCAATTCAACCTGTTTTACTTGTATTATAATACCTTGGTTCTAATAAGAACCAATCCAATTTCCAGCAAATCAATCATTTTCCAACTACAACCCCATTGACTATTCCAACAAGACGAGAAAAGCAAAATTCAAATTTAACATTCGATAATCTGCCGTTGACACGATTTCTCATCAACCAATATTTCGATAAATCGATTAGTCGATCTAACTACCCCTATGTCCACTTATCACGTGAATTTCTTCTCCTCCTCTTTCGCTTGTCATTTATACAGAAAAAAGATTGTATGTTGAGTTTTTTTGGGTCTTGGGTCGTCGTCGATTGATTTTTGTGGCGAAAAAATTAATTCAACGCAATTTTGCTGTTTTCCACCGCACAAAACTCGGTTAGAAAATTCGGGTGTATCAACCAAATAAACGTAGAATAAAAAAAGAAAATTCGCTTTAATTGTCGTTGAAAAGCTACAAAAAATGTAAGTGAAGTGTTGAAATGAAAACGAGAAAAAAAACTGAAAACAGAACTCTTAAAGAAATGAGCAACGAAAAAAGTCTCCTTAGTGACGACGACAACGACATTGCAATCAAAAAAATCATGTAAATGCAGGGTCATTTAAAACAACCTAATACAAAAACTATGAAGCTATGCAAAATTGGTGATCACGAAAAAATACGGATTAATCTATGGTTTCCAGATATTGATATTGTAGTGGAATTTCTAACACCTGTTACAAAGCCATCGTATGAAGAAAAAAAAAACATTTTGTGTTTGATATGAAAAAGAAATTTTGAAGGAACATTTTGTTTTTCTTTTTTTGGGAATTTTTAACAATAATTTAATGCCTCGAAGTGTGAGAATTTGTGCAAATACTATTGCTAAGCATTTTAACTAAATGCCTGGCTGCTAAATGTTTGTGTAATTTTCTGAAAATATTTACAAACATGCGCAGCTTTTAATAAAATCTGTTTAATATTTTTTCTGTTTCTTGTGTGGATTTGATGTGATATGAAGGAAAAAACCCGTGAGTGAAAAAAATTATCGATTCAAGCTTGTCATGTGACTGTCATCTGTCGCAAACAGCTGACATTAAATTCAAACTCACCACCGTGGCTATGAAAATACAAAAACAAAAAGATGTGCAAACAAAACACAGAGTTGCATTTGAGTGGTGAACTTCCGACAGACGGTTAGTCTAGGAGAGTGACCGAATAGGAGTGAAAGAAACTACCGTAATTTCAAACAAAACATTAACGGACAACGGTTACTATTAAATTAAATATTTAATTCCGTTAATTTCTCTGGCATGACACATTTTAAGTAAATACTAATAAAAGTTACATGACCTGGCAGTTTGTTTTTTTGGGGCTATATGTGACTGTACACGTATGGATGGATGTGGACATACATGTTTTGACCCATTGCCAGACATTTATTGATGATGACCGACCAAACGACCGACCTACCTCTTGTGTTAATTATCTGTTATGTGATTTAGTTGTTTGTTGTTGTTGGTTTTTGGAGATGTGCGTGCCAAGTGATGACTGCGCCTTTTCTGTTTTAGTTTTTGTTGGTTTTCCGTTTATTAATGTGATGAATGTTATAGGCCATGTAATGGCACTCCTGTCTTATCAGGAGTTGGGGTCAGGGACCAACACCAAATTCCTTGGAGAGAAGTATTTCATGTGTTTACATGTTTGTTCACACATAGCCTAACATTATCAAACATTTGTTTGTTTGTTTTTTCTTTACAGACATTCTGTTTATGGGGTTGTGGGGTTGGAGTTCCACCGGATCCCTTATGAAGTTGCCGGAGGGAAATTATGAAGTTGTCGTTGTTATGCCATTTTGAGGACAATAACAAAAATCATCGTCAATAAAACATTCCAATTCAACCCATGAACTCTCTACTAAATATTTACAACAATAGTTGTTTTTGTTGGAATGTCTTAGATTTAGAGGAACACCATCCTCATAGTTGTTTTGCAACTGCTTCTTACACACATCGGATTTTTTTAGAATGACATGATTTTTGTATATATTTGAAATCGCTTATGTCGGTTAAGGCACCGGCAGAATGATTTGGCTTTTGGTATGTTTAATTCATACCGAATGTAACAACAACAACAACAACGAAGCTGTGCAAAAACGAAGTTACAGACATTATGCTTGAACAATTTCGCTTCCAATCATTCGCATATGTTACGACCTTTTTGCCAAGGGATACTTCCTGTTTCATTATACGAATCTTCGACTGAATTTTACATATGGCTGGCGTCCATGCCATATATTTAATTATACAACGTTTCAAACACGGCCAGAGGATGACCTTCTCTATGTCTTCGCACTGTTTGACAAATTTTGGCAGTATCGCGGGCGTTCGATAGGTTAAGAGACCCCATAACCGCATGATCTATTGAGTGGTCTATAAAGACTCGTTCTCAGTAGTCTATAAAAACTCATTTTTTGAGGATTCTGTTAATACTCCTATCGAAAGAGATTTCGAAGAGTCTGAAAGGTAATATTTTGAGGAATCTGAAAAGACTTCTTACGAGGAGGATGAAAGGGCTCGTTTCGAGGAGTCTATAAAGACTACTTTCGAGGAGCCTATAAAGACTTTTCGAGTAGTCAATAAAACTCCTTTCTAGGAGCCTATAAACCCTCCTTTCGAGGAGTCTAAAGAATACTTTCGAGGAGCCTTTAAAGAATTTTCGAGTAGTCAATAAAACTCCTTTCTAGGAGCCTATAAAGACTCCTTCCGAGGAGTCTATAAAGACTCCTTTCAAGGAGTCTATAAATACTCCTTTCGAGGAGTCTATAAAGACACCTCTCGAGGAGTCTATAAAGACACCTCTCGAGGAGTCCATAAAGACTCCTTTCGAGGAGTGTATAAAGACTCCTTTCGAGGAGTCCATAAAGACCCCTTTGGGAGAGTCTGTAAAGATACCCTTGGGAGAGTCTATAAAGACTCCTTTCGGGGAGCCTATTCCATAGGAAACTATAAAGATTCGTTTATATGAGCTTGTAAAGACAGCTTTATTTGTTTTTAGGAACATATAAACATATTTAGGCGGCTGCAAAAACTTATTTTTAAGGTCTAAATATTTTTATTAGAATCGAAATTTTTCCATCGTTTTACTTATAACATGGGTTTTCTACAGTCGAAATCGTTTATAATGACGGTTAATGATATTTCATTATAAAGGTGTCGTTAAAAAACGATTTCGACTGTACTTGATTTCACTCAAATTAACAAATCAATTACAATTATTACTTTAACTATTTAAAAAAAAACGATATATTTTTTTTATAACTCACTTTGTTTTATTAATTGTTGATAATTTATTAAAAAAAAACAAAAACTGAAGCTTCTATATTTGTCATGATGGAATATTTAATTACATTAACGGGACAAATGGATTGCATGTTAAAAATTCCTTTTTATAACCTTGAAAATTGTCATAAAAATGGAATTACTAAACAACAACAAAAATGTATTCAATTTTCGTTACACTTATAAAGTTTTTTGTTGGCTATGCTTATGTACATTGTCCTCTATCGCTACCGAAAAAGTTTTGTTTTTGTATGAAGAGTGTTTTTTATTAATAATTAATACAAGCTAGATTGATACATGTGTAACATAATTTGTCTAATGTGTAATTGTCCAATGTAGTGCTGGTTTGATTTTTTTCTTTGATAACTAAAAAAATTGAGGGTTAATTTTTGATTAGGGACAACAGCATAAATTCTGTATTTTGAAATATATAGCACTGCTCGTGAGTTGGTATATGTCATTTACATTCACTCATACTGAACTGTTTAAAACAGTATCGGGGAAATTTTTTTTTGCCTAGTCTACTATAAGATAATGTTGGATTTCTAGGTCACACTCAATATAAAAAACGAATTCCGCTCTAAAAATGTAGACATTTGTGTCTACTTTATCGTTTTCCTCTCTTATTTTCTTTTCCTTTAATTATTGTGTGTGAATAAATTCAAATTTTGCCACATGAAAATTTCCATCTGTATTTTTTAATATTATAATTTCCTCATTGAAAAAAAAAAACACGAAATTATACGAATAATCCATACTCAATACTTTTCACATTATAAATGATTAAATGATCTATTACATACATACACTTCATATATCTCCCTGAGTGTGTGTACGCGTCCAACGACACCATAGTGTCGGAACTAATCCTTTTATATTTGTTTATGACTAGCTAATTTTATTTGTTTTACGACAGCTCTAACATACACTCACATATATAGTATGCGAACGAATGAATTGAATACGAACAATTCATTCGTTCGTTCGTATACAGGAAGTCTAAAAATAGTAACACATATCGTGTTTAAAAACAATCTCCCAAAACCGATAACTACAGTAATAATAAAAAAAACATACATATATTGACTATTTGGTTTGTTATAGTTCTTATATATAGATATTTGTTTGCTCCCTCTCGCTTTTTGTATTGATGAACAATGAAAATGAATGTGAGAATTAAGGACAACAACAACAAAAAAGGACTTTTATGATATATGAAAGTTGAGTGGCCTCTCTTCTTGAATGACTGATAGGAAATGTTTTTATCGATTGATTTATGAAGTTGTTGTTTTGACGACAATCATGTTATTTCAAAATATTGCAGAGGAGCCGAAGAGGATACATATATTTTAAGAGGAACCGAAGAGGATACATATATTTTAATTTTATAGGAACAAATTTAGAAAATTCTGTGGTCACTTCTGATGTGGTCAACAAGTTCAGCTGTTTAATATATATATATATATATATGTATATTTAATTAAAAAATATGAAGATATATTTCGTGGAATGAAAAAAAAAATATCGATTTTCTTTTAGACCAAACACATGCAATTTTAGATTTTTTTAGAAGAGAGTTTCAAAAAATTTTGGTCATTGTACCACAAGGCTACTTAAAGAGTCATATGAAAAAAAGAAAGAACAAAGAAACTCAACCTATCACATTTTGCCTGATGTTGTCTTACAATTGAGAAGGAGATGACAGTACATGAGTGAATTGAACTTAGCTCGTTCCAAAGTTCATATCCTCTTATATCGAATGAGGAGCAAGTAGTTTTGAAACAATGACAATTACATGCAAACTTAACATGCAAGACTTTTGTTTTTTTTTTCACAGTGATGTTCAGAAGTTTTTTAAAAACATTCTAGAACCATTTCTTCTGTCACTTTGAACTTGAATCCACATAGTGTCGCTACATAGAACATTTTTATATCCTCAGCCTTATGGATTATGAGAATATATACACTTTGATACGGCAAACATCATCCTCATTGAAATATTGGTTTTAGACCCCATGTTTTTTGGTCCAAATCCGCTTTAGACAATTTCGGTGTTGATTTACAAATGTCCGGCCCTCTGACTGTCTGCCCGGCCGTACGCACGATTACTCTGAAGGGAGTAACCGATTTCATCAAAACGTTGC